TGCCCAAAGAACAGGAGTTTTCCTGACAGTAGGTGAAAGCCAATTCCTTCCCCAAGGAACAGAGGCAGGGCTAGCCTATGGAGGGAGAGAAGGAGGAATAGTTTGGGCCACACACACACTAAAAAGCAAATAAGGGGCCATAACTACTGTTTAATCTGCATAGGTCCAGTGCTAGTGTGCCAAGGAAGCTCCCTTAGAAATTGAACAACAGATCCATAGCCTTGTCCAGATGCCCTAGGGCTCTGAATGGACCCAGCCTGGCTCACTCCCCATTGATGGGCTGTGGGAAGGAGGGCTAGGAAAAAGGGGGAAGTAGGGTTCTATCATTCATTACAGTGAAGTGAATGGGGTTTTAAGAGTATGTTTATTTCAGTGCTAAAGGAACAACCAAGTTCTGCTCCTTCCAGCAAACCTGCAGGGGGTAGGGACTCCTACCAGAGGTCCAGGCCATAGTGGAGCCAAAAATAATGAGGGAACATGAGAACACTAGCAATGGAAAAGCAGCCTGGGTCACTGTGGCTTGACACATGCTGGCCAGTGACTGAACCATCACTCTGTATATGAGCTATCAGGCCTCTTCCTCCTAGTGAACCTACCTAACACTTTAAAAAGCTAAGCCTGGGAGTTTAGTCTTTACTCTGCCAGACCCTCAAAATCATGGAGCGAACAGAGGCACAGGATTGCTGGCTCATGACAATCTTATGTAACCCACTAACCTCCCTTTTTGTCCTATGACTGCAGGGGGGTTAAGAGGCCACTCCACAGTGAATGGGCCTTTGGAAGGTGTGCTTGCTGCTATGTGCATCAGTTCCACTTTGCATTTAGCTGTGATGTGAGGAGCAGAGTACCCACAGCCAGCAACATGTGTTTATTGCTGGTGCCCATCTGCACATGCTTTGGGGCACACAACAAAATTTATTCTGCTCATGGATGGAAAAAGTTAGGGAACACTGCCTGGAATTGCATTTCTATCCCCAGCCCATAGACAATACCCCTTGTAGCTGCTGAAATTAGGGGTACTGCCCTATGTGGGCAAGAAATGAAGCTGCACCTTTCACAAGAACTGGCTGTCTCAGCACAACCCCCTGAAGCAATGTGGAGATGAGATTCTAAAGGCAGGGAAGCTGTCACAGTTTTGGGAAGGCTCTCTGGGACTATAGAAGTAAATGAGCCACTGATGGCTACTTAGCGTGACAAAGAAGGTATAGCTTTCATGGTGAGAGTGAGAAGCTGAAGAAGATTTCAGTGTGGCTGGAAAGCTGGACTGTCTCTTCTATCCTGGGACTGACATGATTACCACCACACACCATTGACCACCACTGACACTTATGAAATAAACACTCAAGGCTTTACAGAGAGCCGAAGCCATCAACACCTGGGAAATGACCCTCAGTGGTAGAGATTTATCCTTCCACCAAGCCCCTTGGGCACTCGTTATTACTGCTGGATTCTTAGCACTTGCGCATCGGCTCAGCCTGCAGCGATCAGACAATTCTGTTTGTGGCTGGGGATCCAAAGCTGCAGTATAAAGCCTAGCTCAGCAGTTTCAGCCAGACTCATTTAGCCTGCTTCATTCAGAAAATGGGCACTCTATATAGGTCAGCGTGCCGGGAGTGCAGGGCACGTGCTGGACCAGGTTTCCAGTGGCACAAAAGGCTGGACAGAAACTCATTTTCAGTGTGTGGCTATGAGGTGTGGGTACCTGAACTCCCATTAGCCATTTAAAAGATCTCCCCTTATGTTCCCCCTCCCCACCTGCAGCATGTTCCATCTGAGTGTGTGACTAATAGCAGCTGCCTCTCCTCTCAGAGCAGATGCTCCTTTAGAGGCCTGGTCTAATGTGGACCCAGACCCAGAGGGCCAGTTGACTGTACCTGGCCTTGGCAATACTCAGCACGCCTGGAAGTCAAGCCCTTGAGACATAAGATCCTGATGCTCCAAACTATGGGGATGACATGAACCTGCTGCAGCCAGCCTGCAGGCTTGAGTTATACCAGCCCTGCTGCCCTTGGTCTCACCTGTTTGTCTGGGAAAAGGAGCCGGAGTTTTCTATAAAGCTGGGGGTTTTTTGTTTTTTTGTTTTTTTTTTTTGGTTGGAGCAACCCAACCTGCTATTCAACACACAAACCCCATTCATCAGCATTGAGCCTCCCCTCTACTCCAGCCCCACATGTGGCCCTTCCTTGGCACCTGCCTCAGCTGGAATACTGTGTCCAGTTCTGGGTGCCACATTTCAGGAAAGATGTGGAGAAATTGGAAAGGGTACAGAGAAGAGCGACAAGAATGATTAAAGATCTAGAGAACATGACCTATGAAGCCAGGCTTCATGAACTGGGCTTGTTTAGTTTGGAAAAAAGAAGATTAAGGGAGGACATGATAGCGGTTTTCAAATATCTAAAAGGGTGTCACAAGGAGGAAGGAGAAAATTTGTTCCTCTTGGTTTCTGAGGACAGGGCAAGGAGTAATGGGCTTAAAGTGCAGCAGGGGAGGTTTAGATTGGACATTAGGAAAAAATTCCTAACTGTCAGGGTGGTCAAATATTGGAATAAATTGCTAAGGGAGGTGGTGGAATCTCCCTCTCTGGAGATATTTAAGAACAGGTTAGATAGACATCTGTCAGGGATGGTGTAGACGGAGCTTGGTCCTGCCTTGAGGGTGGGGGGGGCTGGACTCGATGACCTCTCGAGGTCCCTTCCAGTCCTATTATTCTATGATTAGCCACTCACCCCGCATAGGTCTAAGCTCCAGTGGCCTCCTGTATTCTTAACAGTTCAGGAAGCATCTGTGGGTAAAGCTGACACCAGCTCACAAATGGGCTGGTGAAGAGCGATGCCAGGATGGAAGGACACAGGGTTGGCAAGAGCACCCCTACAGGGAGATTTAGGCAAAACCAGAAAAGTGCCTGAACCACTATTGCTTACTGCTAATAGCAACCAAGCTAGCAGGCCCAACATAGTCCTAGACAACAGCCTCATCATGATCAAGTCAGGGAGGAAAGAAGGGAATTTGAGTGCTACAGAGAGGGCAGCTGGACCCTGCATCCTTTCTGAGGGCCAGATCTCTATTGAGACGGCTGAGCTATACATTTAGAAAACAGGAAGCTTCTCTAGATGTGTCAGTCAGGGCCCCAGGGCATGCAAACTCTAAAAAACACATCTGGCTAACTGATGATCAGAAGAAAACCTCTTGCCTAGCCTTTAAAGAGTGCTTGCCTAACAAGTTTTTGAATGACGTGTTATTGTAATACTAACAGATAAATAGGGAAGTGGGACTCTTTTGGATACCCTTTTAGGGACTTTATATCTGGACACAACTTCGATCCTCACCAGCAGACGGAAGACTGGCCCTTGGAAGCCTGTCACTGTGTCACTTAAGAGCCACACTCAACTTTGGTAATTATTGAGGGTGAGGGTGTTTTACTACCCTGTTGCAGATGTATGTAAGTGCCCAAGACTAAGTAAAGTTCAGCTTTAAGTGAAAGCGCTCTTCTGTTGTCCTATTTGTACCATCTATCTATTGGTTAGACGACCGTGTCTCCCTTGAGTTATTTCCCAATATCACCATGCAGAGAGGAAAGTTACTGAAAGGTTTGGGTTAAAAGAACTCCCGGTAACACTGCATGTGACTTTAAAGAGAGGAAATTCTACCACTTTTCAAGAGCAGCTGGCTCTCATTTTGGCTCCTGGCTGTC